GTGCATGCTGGGAGGGGCCAGAGACACTGGGAGGGGCTGCCTGGAATGGTGTGAGCTGGGGGGACCTGGGTGCACTGGAGTGGAGCTGGGCACCCTGGGGTGGAGCAGGGAGGACCTTGCCTACACTCACCTCGCAGCCCCGGATCTGCTCCATGGCCAGCAGGTCAGTGCCGTGCCGCACCTGGGAGTGCAGCAGCTGCTGTGCTGCGCCCAGGGCCTCGCGCTCTGACGCCTGCTCTGGGTCCGTCTCCTGCAACAGCTCCTCCAGAAAGTGCCTATAGCACTCCAGCTGCTCCAGGGGCCTCCGCAGGGCGCTTGCCAGGGCCTCGGGGCTGCCGTGCATGGTCTGGGAGGAAGGGAGGAGCTTGACTATGCACCAACCCCCCAGCACCTGCTGTCTCTGCCGCCAGAGCCTGACTCCCAGCCTGTGCCCTAACCAGTAGGCCCCACTCCCTTCTGAGCACCAGGGCTAGAACCCAGGAGTCCTCGCTCACAGACCCACCACCCCATGCTAACCACTGGGCCCCACTCCCCTCCCAGAGCTGGGGTAAGGACATAGACACCAAGCACCCTGTCTTCTGACCCTCATCTGCACCGAAGGCATCAGGGAAACGACAGACGTGGGCAGGCACTGAAGGGTCCATCACCTGCTGCCCAGTCCCAGCCTGGGGAGATGCGTTCGTAGGCGCTATGTCCCAGTTAGATTCAGGCCTTTGCAGCACTCCCTGACAAGGACCCCCGGTTGACCGAGCGAGGTGCGAATTCATTTGTTTAAACCTGCCGTCTATTAATTTCATCCCTGGACCACGGCTCTTGTGCGACGTGCGAGGTAAATAACACTTCCTCCAGGCCTGCCATGATTTTATAGACCTTCATCATCTTCCCCCTTAGTCGTCTCCTTTCAAGCCCGAAAAGCTCCAGTCTCTCCTCAGATGGCACCTCACTGCTTGCCCCTTTTATCAGATCATTCCTCAGATCCATCACCTCCACGGAGTGGGTCGCGGTGGAAATCTCCCCCATACCCTCAGCCATGCAGACAGATGCAAAAGAATTCATTGTATTTCTCTACCATGGCCTGACTGTCCTTGAGTGCCCCTTGATCAGCTAGTGGCTTAAGCGCAGAAAGGTTTGCTGTTTGTGTCTTGTGGCGGTTGCCTAATTATCCTTTTACATTTGACATGATGGGACCCAGGAGTCCAGAACTCCCTGCCCTGCCTTCCCTAACCATTGACCCCCACTCTCCTCCCAGAACTCGGAGCACCCCCGCTGGTAGCACACATGGTACCTTGTTGGCAGCTGGATGGCAGGCCAGGGCTGCCATGAGCTTCTGCTGGTTCTTCACGTATGGGGCATAGAGACCGAACTGGTCCGCCTGGCACAGAGAGACGGGGGGTTAGAACCAACTCCAGCTCCCTCCACCCCAGGATGGGCACCATGCCCTGGCAGCCCATGGGCACAGGGTCAGTGCTCTCAGAGCACCCGCCGGGGTGTGGGGAGGAGTCCCCAGCTGGGCCCCTGGGCCAGACACTCACGTAGCGCAGGAAGCAGGCCCCTGCACGCAGGGGGTGGCTGGCACAGCCGCGCAGCTCCTTCAGGAAGTAGGCCCGGTGGAAGTCCAGCAGCCGCCGGCGGGGGGCCCCCCGGGGCGGGGACAACC